GAAGTCGCTCTGTGATCAGCGAAGGTTATTCCGCCAAGCTTTTTTCACTTCAATGGAGGAAAAACTGAACAGCATCTGTTGCATTCATCGATCATTTAATCAGTTGCAAGCGGCATCCGGTGGCACGGAAAAAAGATCTGGAATGTCCTTAATTGAATCATTGGCGTTGTCGCAGTGGGCAACTGCCCCGTCGTTTATTTAATTGGGATAAATAGTAAATTATTTTCTTTAATCTAACAAATGAAGAAAAGGAAACCGAGTACCATTCCAAACTTGATTTTTGAAGGAACCATCGAACCGACAGAAGTTTAACAAACTAAAATATGCGATTCTGTTGCTGCTAGTCAGGCGCTTTTTTTGAACAAGCTAAAAACGAGGTACGCGAATATCATTCAACAACCTGAGATGAGCAGTAAAAAAGGTGGTGATAATCACTGCGTATGATAAATTGGCTACCTGGTGGTCGATAAATAAACGGGTGGAGTGACATTTTGACTGTGTGCAGGTTGAGGGTGATACAACATCGTCATGTCGAGATCAGTCATTTAGCAAAGATAAACTTCAGTGTTAAGCGTATACTATTGGGTCAAAAACGACAAGTGTGCATATGTGAACATAAATTTGTATTTGACTGTAATTTCGAACGGCGACTGGAAGGTGGCGTAAACAGATTTATGAAGCAATTTTACCAGGCAAGTTTACACAATATTACGGTACTTGCTTAGTACACGTATGGTAATTCAATTCGTTTCATCGTAAGAGAGCGTCTCCATTCAGTGAAATTCAGCGCAAGTTCTTAATGGCTGCTGGTTCAACATTTTCATTTTATAGAAAGGTAATAGGCATTACTTCATAACGACGATGACACGGAAGAATGGCGACGACCGACTGACTGAATGAAATATGTAGTGAGCGTGCCTACTTTAAAAAGAAGCGTCGCAGCCTGCAAGAGTTAGTGCCGTTTCGGATAACTTGACATAGTATTGAGCATAAATAATATATGGAGCCAGGTGCTAACGGGTCAGAGCGTTCAGAATTCAGACAAAAAGATGAAGGAACAGATTTTCAACAGGGCATTAATACAAAACATCCAAAGCAAATTTCCATACTGCATTAATTGAATTACCCAAAGCGACTTAGATACTTTTTAGCCTTTTTACAGACATTTTTGTGCTGGTGAAATACAGTCAACCCGATGGCCTTAAGCCCGATTATTCAAGCAATAAACGATAAGTCGTGTTGGACAAGAAAAGTTAGTTTATTAGCTTAAGCATAATGGTTATTATCACCACAATAATATTTTTGCGAAATGTAATACATAATGTGGTAATAAATGAATTCAACTCAGCGTTGCGACCGCAAAGCAGGTACAATGTTACATTTTCGTTCCTCCAATTTTAATACAATGATGAAAATGTAGAATCATGGACAATGGCATTACGAAACGGGAACTTGCATCGTTGTCGAAATTAGGCACTAATTTCTGAACTATGTTTCTGCGAGTGAGCCATATCCGTTAAATTTTTTATAGCATTCAAAATTACTTATTTCCAAATGCTGTATTGACAGTATAGTAAACTTTCAGTCTACAGGTCAATGAATGCAGGATGGATTTAGTAGGTTTATGACACATTCCTCATAGGGTATTTTGCATATGATAGTATGGTCGGCTATTGTTTCTGTTCTACGGTGTTCTCTAATTTGATCGAAGTTTTTCATTTAACGATTGTTTTTGAACTTTTTATAAAACAGGTTGCAATTTCATGATGAACTGATTTTTTATACATTGCTGATCGTCTATTGCGTAAGAGTGAGTCCAGTGTACGTGTAAATTCGTCATTTCCTGTTTGCCGCGAAGGTAGGCGTTTCGAAAGGGATCGAACGATGATGGAAACGACTTTCCGATGACGCTCGCAAAGAATGTTAGAAGTACTCACTGATTTTGCTATCTTTTGATCTTTGACCGTTGTCTTCATGAATCCCTATTTCCGGTTGACACGGCTGATAAAGCAGAAGGCCTTGATGGCTAACAGTTAAATACAATTGTCGCTCGCATCTTGCGATGCTGTTGTCCGTGCTCAGCGGATTTAGGTTGGTTGATCCCACATTTTTTTCATGTTATTGGCTGTGTGGACAGAGACGTCTTGAAGTTGTTAGTGAAGTTTCAATGAAGATCTGGACTGTTGTGTGGCCGTTTTTCTAAACTAAAAAATGATAGCCCATTATGAATCCCTGACGAAAATCAATCCGGATAGTGAAACTCATGGGATAACGTATTAAGAAGGTTCTGTATATAAGAAGGATACTCTGCCTTGAAATTTA